ACATAAGTTATCTTAAATCTATTGAGTGTGATCTAGGTATTGGGTTGTGCTTTTGACACTTGGTATGAATTTTGGATACTTAGATTATGGTTTAAGGATGAAAAGGTGCTAGTTTGCATTTGAGTGTCTAATTTATGATTGGGTTAAAATTTAGAGATGAAATTAATGCTATTAGTTAGAATTTTGAAAGATATTTTTGTGAATATCTAAATCACTTCTATTGGACATTCGATGGAGATTTGGCACATGTTGGAAGTTTGGTTAGAAAACTTGCCATGATAGCATGTCATGGGTTCTGCATTTTATGCCACAATATAAAATTTTATGCCACGATGTATTGTGTTAGAAATAAGTTTAGCTCTTTTGACCCTAAATTGATATACTACCTTATCTAGTATAATTTTCACGCTTTCATATATGTTTCTACTTTGTTTTAAATTAGTTTATATTTGATTTCAAAGTAAGTTATTAAACTTGGAATTCCAACTTTAAAATGTTTATATTTTCAAATTAAGTTATTGTTGGATTGTGAAGTAAGTATTATAATACTTGTTTTGAAATTTTTTAAATCATAGTAGACTTTTTATTTGTCTTTTCCTTCATATCATGGTTAGTCTTTTAACAATTGGTTGAAGTTTACAACAATGGTTTTGGTAATCATATGGTTTAATCTATAGTTATCATGGAGGTTTTTGGTAAGTGCCGGGATAATAAGAAAAATGTTACACCTCACAGTACCAATTATCATAAAAACCACGTGCATAAAACTCTTGCATGCATAAAACGTAACGATAAAGCCGATTGAGATCACAATCAATGAAACTCAATAATTTCATCACAATCATGAAGGCTACCAGAGGAAAATAATCAAACAATGACACGAATATTGGTATAAATATCACCAATGTTATGGTTATGAAATCTTAAGGATGTGCATGGTAGATTGTTGAGGATGAAAGTTTTGATGATGAATTAGAAAGGTGAATAACTGAAGTCAACATAATGTTGAATTTAACACTGAATTGGAACATTAAATTCAAAAAGGTTCATGTCTAACTGAAAAATAAAAAAGATGTTCCAATATATTATGGAGTCGTTAAGTAATCAAGATCTGGCTAATAAACATATAGATGTGAAAACTCCAATGCTAGAATCAAAAGAGTCTACTATAACTCTTATGAAGCCTAATCATGAGAGTTGTTTGTCCACCTTAGTACCTTTACCATCGGAGGCTCCTTTAGAAGTTCTAACAAAAATTCCTCTACTTGCTATACAATTGGTACTTCCCAAGTTATGATCAACTAGAACCAACAACGCCTCACTATAGATTCATCTCATCTACGAGTTGTACATGCCAAAAATGTCTTATCATTTAATAGGAAGTTCTAACAGCATCTTGTATGCTAAAGAGGTTTTTCATATATTTCAAATAGTCAATGTTGTTCTCTACATGATGCAATCCGTGGCTACTTCACTTGTTGGAAAGGATTGCCAAATCTATGGATGTGGATGAACTTTTTTCTCACCTATCCCTCCTTAACTAATTTGTGCCTCAATTTTTAACTTGTTGAGAGATGAGTTGTTCAAGTGGGGAAGAAATGATAAAATATGAGATAATGGTTATTTAGGATAGTTATATTTTTTTAAAAAAATATTTTAATTATCCATTAAAGATATTTAAATAAGAATATTTATCTATTAAAATTAGAATTTAATATTTTATTTTATCATTATCTTAAATTTATTCTTATTCAATAAAATAGGATATTATCATCTTATCAGTATCTTTTTAAATTAGATTTAGGATTTAGAATTTAAATTTATTATTTTATCGTTTTAGAACTCCATAGATAGAGTTGAGATTTTTATTTGTGTTTAGTTTTTAACATATATTGAATAGAGTTTTGGCCTCCCCCCTCTTCCTCTCTTCCTCTTCCCTTTTTACATCATTAAGTGTATCATCTTTAAAAATAGTTTACTCATTTTGTTCAGAATTATAAAATATTTTTGATTAATTTTCTCTCATGATAAATTAGTTAATTACATTTTAAATTATATATTTTTTCTTAATTACTCTTGTTTAATAGAGTGCCATAATTTAAAAAAATTATTAAATACACTTTTTATAAAAGCATTTTTTTAAAATTATTAATTACATTTTTAAGAACTCAAAATGCAATTATTTTTTATTATGATACTTCATAAAAAGTATCTTCCTGTAAATGGAGGGAGTACTTTACTCATAAAAAATTTAAGAGTAAAATTTAAAAAAAATTAATTAATGATTTATTTTTTGTGCAAAGTTTCTTATAAAAAAGACCATTAAATTTTTTTAAGATTTTATGAATGAAATTTTAAGAAAAAATCACAATCAAGGACCCTTGGAAATAATTAATTGCATTACAGGATCAAATGATTATGATATTACTTTACAAGATCAAAGTACCCACCTTTATCGTGAAAAGATAAAAATATCCTTCATGTGTATTTTTATACTCTTTTAACAACAACTTCCACTCAAAAAAAAAAAGAAGTTATGTTCACATTTTAATAATAATCAATTCTTTTACTAATAATTCTAAAAAAATAACTTGGTAATGGAGAAGAATAAGTATTGTGATTTAGTAAACAAGTTCTCGTTCAAGTAAAAATAAATCCCATTTTCATTCTAACAACAATCAATTTATTTATTAATAATTTTAAAAATTAACTTGGTAATAAAGAGAAACAAGTGTTTCAATTCGGTAAATAAGTCTCCATTTAAAAAACAACAAGTCTCATTTTTATTATAACAATAATCAATTCCTTCATTAACAATTATAAAATATTAATTTGATAGAGGAATTGTTATAATTTAGTGAACAAGTCTCAATTAAAAAAAAAGTCTCATTCTCATTTTAGTAATAATCAATTTGCTTGTCACAACAAAAATACATCAGGGACAATTTTGTCTTTTCATAATAAATTTTAATTATATTTAGGTCCTTTGACCTTGTAGAGTAATATCAAGATTTTTTGGTCCTGCAGTATAATTAAATTTCCTCGGGGTCCTTGATTGTAATTGTTCCTAATATTAATCACTTCACGCTCCGGCGCGTGCTCCTCCCGCAGCTGGGTTTTGTTTGAGGTAAATAGTCATGTGGGTTTCTGTATTCGGATGGCACTGTAACATCCAAGTCAGTATTATCTGCCAAACACAGTGTGTGTATTGGGAAAGAAAGCAACGAGGGAAAGTATTATCCATGGACACGGAGGTTACTTATTCAAACTGATCCTGCAGCAGATAGGCCCTGACATAAGACCTCAGATACTGAGAGAGAAGAACACCATGGCGGCAGGTGCGTGTGAGAGAACAGTGAAATTACGCAGAGCAGGGTTGAGCTACAGTAACATACAGAGAGAGAGAGAGAGAGAGAGTCTGTGAAGATGCTTTAAATGAAATACACAGAAGCGTCACTGTTCCCCGTTCTCTTCTTTTACTTCGCTTCCAACGCTACACTAACCGGCGCTTTCAAGTTACAACCCTACGTTCATTTACTTCGCACCTATTATTCGTATATGATTCTGAACAATACAGCTTTCACATATTAGTCGAGTATGACTACGAATCTTCCCTCGGGTTCCGCTGATAATAATATAAAGTGTATTTTTATTAGTCATCCAGGCTTTTTTTTTTTGATAATTTTTTTATTTAAAAAACGTAAATTTCACTCTTTAATAAAATAATTATTTATTTTTAAATTAATTCTATCATTTTATATGTATCATTATTAAAAACTTTATGATAAATATAAAGTCATTATTAATAGAGGTACTTAAAAAATAATTAAAAAAATTAAAAATATTTAATATTTTCTTAACATATAACTTTTTAAAAAATATTTTACATTTTTGAATGAAAAAATATCTAATATTAAATTATTTATATTTTAATGTCATCTGGTAAAAATATTAACAAGATTCAAAGTCCTGGTAATCATTCAAACTTCGAGAATGTATATTATATTAATCAAATGATCTTATAACCGCGATCAACTCGTGAAGGGTGATATAAGCGTTCTACGCGAAGGAAGAGGAATCCATTCAATTAATTAAGCTTTTAATCTCTTTTGTTGTCACGAATTATATCTTTTTAACCACGTTGCTACGCATGAAAAGTAAAATCATATAACACATAAGATTCCAGGTAAAAGGAAGTATGTTTTTCCCACCATTGTTTGTCAAGTGATGAGTTGGGAAGTTAGCCCTTTCCTTTTCTGTATTATATATATAATATATATAGTGGCGAACAAGTTTGTTTTGTTGCTTCCACTGGAGAAAAAAATACTGAAAATATTGTTCGCTTTTTGAAATTGCAAATAGGTAGGAGTAGTACAAATTAAATGACTAAACGAGAAAACGCATTGCAACTATTCTCACACTCTAGAGGAAGAAATTCTAAGGATTCCAGCCATGTTTCTCATGAACTTGTCCCTTTTCCTTCTTTTCCATTGCTGTCTTTTTAAACACATCAGTCAGAAACACCTTCTCATACATGCATGCAAGAGTAACACAACATTGAGCCTAATTAAAAAGTAAGATTCCATCTCTTTGCTCTAGAGACAAGGCTAATAAGCCATAACACAGATCTTCATGATTCCCCAAATAAAAGACGAGGGAAGGTCTCTGTGCCCTCTTCGGTCCGTTCCCGCCGTATCTTCTTCATAAAGACTTGGGCCTTACTTTATAATAATTAGACTTGGGTCCCTCAAAAAACTGTTAAAATATTTATATAACTTTATTATAATTAGACTTGAGCCCTAACACCCTTCCTCCAAAAACTGTTATTTATATAACACAGATCTTCATATATTTTAATACTGGCTCTGCTCTCATGGGCAAATAGCACGAGAAAACGTCGCTCCTTACTAACAACTACATCTGTAAGAAAAACAAAAAGCTCCCACAGAGAGAGAGAGAGAGAGAGAGAGAGAGAGAGAGAGAGAGAGAGTTGTTTAGACTAAAAGATGTAAAGCCCATACTTAATTACTTAGCAAACTTCTGCGAGTAAGCAATTAAAGCTTAAGAATATATAGACACTAGATTGATATACCGCATATTTTTTTGCCATCTAGCACTAAATTTAAATATGAAAGTAAGTGGTCCACAGTCCTACAAAACAGATTAAAGCTATACTATGCCTCTTGCTCTAAAGTAGGTGCTTTCAATTAATTAAACCTGCAGAGTCCCTTCCCCATCACCACCAACGCTATCATCACTCTTGCCTTCATAGCAATCAGCCACCACAACCACCTTCTGTACATTCTTGTACGAATACCTTCTCGCGAAGAACACAAACACGAACAAATTCACTGTCGTCATCCCTGCGAGTAGCCAGTAAAACCTATCCAACCTGCTACTGTTCAAATCCTTCCCGATCCAACTCTTCCCCCCGCTCTTCTCCGTGGCATGATCCACGACAGTTATCAGCAAACTGCTCAAGAAATTCGCAGCCCCAATCACGCTCAAATAAAGTGCTATGCCTAGGCTTCTCATTGAATCAGGCACTTGGTCGTAGAAATACTCCTGCAGCCCCACAAGTGTGAATCCATCGCCGAAACCAATTATCAGAAACTGAGGGGCTAACCAGAACACGCTCATAGCAAGTGGACCTCTCAGCGGGTCTTTTTCTAAGGTTTGAAGCCTCTTTTTTTCCACCAGGGCTGCCACGATCATAGTGGCGATGGAGAATATCATTCCGAAGCCGATTCTCTGGAGGATGTTGATTCCTCGTTCGTTGCCTGTGAGTCTTCGCAGGATGGGTACGAGGATCTTGTCGTAGACGGTGATGGAGACTATCATGCCTATAGCTCCAAGGGTGAAGATCGAGGCTGGGGGTATCTCGAAGTCGTTGATTTTTCTGTTCATGGAAGCTCCTTGTTTGATGAAGAAAGTGGAGGTTTGGGCGATGCAGATTCCGAAGGGTAAAGTGAAAACCCAGATTGGGATCATGTTGATGATCAGCTTCATTTCTTCCACTTTGGTTACTGTCGCCAGCTTCCATGGACTCTGCTTCTCAGCTGATTCTCCTTCCTTCGGATCAACAATTGCTGCCTTGTCCAAAAACCTGTCGCACCCACGCATTCATCATTTAAAATTAACCCAATTAACCAAAAGGTAATTCGGATTAATTATTAATACTCGAGGAATTCGTTGAAATTAGATTTGTTTTGGGTCAAACTTGTTCCGGGGACATATTATACAGGCCTGCCATAACGGCTTTACTTTTGGGCCTAATGGGCTTAACTTTAAGTATATTTCCTGGGCCTACTGATTCCACTGTCTAGTAAAGTTAGCTTTTGTGGGTTCAACGACAAAAGTATGAAAATACTTACGAACCATGCTTGGGCTTCACTCATGGGTGTAACCTCTAGCTCTTCAAGGATCGAGATTAAGGTTTGTTTGAGGCGCATAATTTAATCACGTTGAACATAGTGAAAGCGAATATGAATGTTTAAGTACGAGGTCAAGTCTATATGAATGCACAAAATACTTTTGAAAGAAATATTATAATTAAATATGGCAATGCTCGAATTTGACCAATCAGATAACCATGTCAACAAGAGAATGTAGCTTAATGTGTTGCACGTACTTGAGTTTGTGAGTGTGACACAAGATCCTTGCACCGGTTCTACTAGATTTGGGGACTTCATACAACAGAGCAGGGTCGGAAGGATATGGAAGCTTTCTCTTGGAAATGGCAGCAACAAGAACCTGCAACAATGGAGTCAAGGGACTCCCGGTGGGCTTCCTATAGCGATAAAGAGGCCTTCCTGCTATGAAAACAAGCAAGGACAAGGCCATGACCCCAGTGAGGATAAGATCAGCAACGCCCCAATTCACATGGTCTTGTACATAAACAATGAAGGTCACTCCCAGAATGAGGCCACAGCAAAGGCCACAGCTCCACCAGTTGAAGAAGGACATCTTCTGCCTTCTCTCCGTCGAGTGGTCGTCGTCAAACTGGTCGGCTCCGAAGCTCTCCAACGAAGGCTTGTGTCCTCCCGTTCCTATGGAGATCAAATAGATGGCAAGGAAGAATGCCACCTCGTGTACCCTTCTCGGTTTGGTGCATGCAGCGATAGGCGTATCAGAATCACATGGCTTGAGGGCTGGCAAGAACCATGAGAGGGAAAGCAGAGCCAGACCCTACATGCAAGTAAGTTTTGTGATCAGAGAGGTTATGATGTAAGAAAAAGTGAAAGAGAGAGGGAGGGAGACAGAGAGGGAGAGTAAGTACGAGGAGATAGAAGATGCAAGAAGCGAAGACAGTGGAATAGCGACCCAAGTAGGCATCAGCAACGAAGCCTCCAAGAAGTGGCATCAGAGTGGTGACGCCAGACCAAAAGTTGACGTTCCTAGCCGCAGTCTTTAAGTCTTCATGGATCACCTTCGTCAGGTAAAGCACCAAGCTTGTTGCTATCCCGAAGTAGCTCAGCCTCTCGCTGAACTCTATTGCTGCATCCATGTCAACATATATATATATATATATATATATATCTTGTCACTCACTTGCCAACTCAGTCATTGATCATGTACGTTTCCATACTAATTAAGACTATATTTGGTTGGCTTGTATATACTAGCTAAATGCAATTCATATGTGTGATAACAAATATTTCTGAGTCTTGTAATAGAAGGCACCTTTTATTTTTCATACAATAATTGTTTTAGAAATATTGTCGACCCATAAATTTACTGGGCATATATATATTTTTATTATGTGATAGAGAAGCCCGAAAAAAAAAAAACTTTTCCATGGAATTGATCAATATAAATAGAATCAGAATTACACAATTAGAAGATTTTTCTAAATAAATATAGGTACGGCTGCTTTTTTTAATAAATAAAAAGTAGTATTCAGAACCGCCCTTTAATTTGAAATGTCTCATTGGCGGATCACTCGTGCTTCAAGAACATCACTTAAAAGTGTTTTGTGTTTAGTCCATTCAACTGGATTCCCCCAACATAATATTCAACCCTAAATGTCAGAAGTGAAAGGGAACGCACGCCACTATGAAATTCCAAAGAATCTTATGAGAGTACTTCCTAGTGCAACTTAACGCAGTGCTCATCATTATTTTTTTTAATTTTTTTAATTAAGACAATCTTATTCCAAACACGTACTGTCGGATATTAAATGATTATCTTTTTTTTAATTGAAAATTATATTTTAATTCATTACGCCATAAAATATTAGTCACTTTGCTTGACTCGATCAACCCTCATTTTAGTTTATCAATATTTTAATTTTGCCATAGAAAAAAAAAATCCTACTTTAAATTTAGAGGGCACTTTTAAGTCTAATTTCATTTTTCTTAAACTTCACTTTTTAATTAAGTCATTCAATTATAAATATAATCATACTTGACATTCATTCTATCTCTCCATCCAAAAATAAAGCCAACATGGATAGTCGCTATTCTCAAGGGACTTGTTTTATCTCCTATATATAAAACTTACTCCATCTATTAAAAAATATAAGACATTTTTAATTGAATCTAAACTTTCAATAAAGTAATATATACTTTTAAATTAATTCTATTTTTTTATATTTACTCATATTAAATATCCTATAATAAATATAAAATTATTATCAATAAAGGTATTTTTTAAAAAAATAATGATTATATTTTAAAAGACTAAAAATATTTTATATTTTTTAACATTTAATTTTTTTAAAAATATTTTATAAATATTTTTTAAGGGAGGGAGTATATGATATTGCCATGAAACAATGAATTGCGATACTTAATTTGTTTTATCCTTCAGAGTCGGTGATCTGGGGCAAAAGATATATGATTGATATCCACTGATGAGGGGGCAATAAAGCGGCTGACTAATGTAGACCTCACGTATCCAATCCTTAAGCCTAGCTAGCTAGTACACATATTTAATTCATATATAACAACTCATTACAAGGTAGGCATCTTGAAAAGGAAAACCACAGATCAACTTTATATTTCAAGGTTTGTGTGGTTGTGATCTCTTGTGACATATTTTATACTAAGGTTTCAATATAAAGTGGAACCGGAAGCCACCACTTTCTGTGGACATGGAACTCCTGAACAAGACGCTAGCTTGGAAATTCACAGCCACGTGTAGTTGCGATTGACTTTAGCTAATAACTTAACCTATACATGGCACCCTACAACAGCAGAAATTATATATATATGAAGATTAATTATTTTATGATCGCCACGGATCTTTCCATTGTTCATCATCTACTTTTATCAACCAAGTAATGAGCACACCCAAAATAGTGGCTTTCACAAGGGACTTTGACTTCCTAATTATACATACAATTTTCATAAAAAAGACAAAGGTTAATCTATTTGTGGTCTTGAAGAAACAATCATTTTAGGCGTGTTTTAGTTTTCTGCTTGTCACATGGATATTGGCTTGAATTATATATAAAGTTTGTTTTTTTTTAGTTAAATCGCTTCGAACCAATAAAATAATTTTTTGACCAACAAACAAATGAAATATTGACATATTCGATTCAAATAAAATACGGTGGGCCAAATATGATGGATTGATTAGTCTAAATTATCTTCTTTAGTATCAGGAGCATCATAAGCTTGAAAGTAGAATAAGAGAGAAAATAAGGTATGTTTGACAACATGTTTTGAAAATAATTTTTTATTCTCCAAAATAAAAGAATAAATTTTTTTGGTAATAACGTGTTTTCAAAAATTATTTTAAAAAATAAAAAAATAAAATATTATTTTACTGAATGGAAAGATGGAAACAACCTTCAAGTATTTTGATATTATTGTTTTGAAGTACAAGAGAGAATGAGAAAAAAAATTTATTTTTATTATTTTTTATTTTTAAAACATGTTTTACAAAATATCAGTTTCTAAAATAAAAAAATAAAAAAAAATTCAAATAATTCCTAATATTGTCAGATTCTTTATACTTGGTGGAGGGGTATACATAAGATGAAGAGAATAAAGTGAAAGTAAAAAACCATTGGAATCCCTGAAAGTTTACAAAACTCTGCGCGCCCAAAACAACGAGACGGAATTGTATTTTTTACTGAAATATATTCTCATTTTGGCTTTTGCGAGTGTCATGTCAATAACAAGATATCTTATGCGAACTACACAGTCCATTTAGCTACAGCGTCTTCCTAAAGCTGGGTCGTGTTATTAGTTATTATATTACCACTACTACTTCTTCTTCTTTTTGTTTTTTGGCTACAAACTCGTTGTGTACTACACCAATTCTGCTTTATACCAAGTAACAAGTCCTACTATTTATAGGATATATGGATGGCGACTTGGTGAGCCAATATACATTTACATGTATGTATGTATATTAGAATTAGAATACGCTTCTTCATTTTATCAAACAAAAGAAGAATATACCTCTTCAGATAGGCGACAACATATGCGGGCTTCACTTACAGACTAGAAAGAAACAGAAAAAAATCCAGCTATAATACAAAGTGAAAATTTCCGGAGAGACTTGTACTAAAGGATGTTGCAGAAACCTGGTTTGCTCTCTATAAATATATCGTTCGACTTGAAATGAGGAAAACACAGACCAAACAGTAAGGACTGAATCGAAAGTTTGTTCAAAGATTAGAAAAAGACTTGACATGAAAGAGATGATATATGGTGCATAAGAAATAAAATATCAAAAAGGTCGTGGAATTTGAATGATAGAGCAGAAACTTAACTACAGTACTACTTTTCTTGACAACCAAATGAAAGAAGCTTGCTAGCTAGCTAGCATATGGAGAAGTAACAAAGCGTAAGTTTGATAGGCATGCATGTTCTTACCAATAATGAAGAGTGACGCTTTCCAAGAACCAGTGGAAGCTCGAAGAGGAAGTCTTCCTTTATGATCCACTGAAGAATCATAAACCCATTTCATCTCATCAACTTCGGCTCCCCCACCTTCAACTTCTTCCATTATTATTGCTTTCTTCTTCTCCATCTTCCCTGAAGGTTGATAGCTGAAAAAGCTGAAAAAGTAGCCTAGCTTCTGCTAGCTAGCTCAAGCACTACTATCTGTGTGGCTTGGTTTTGTACACACAACCCTATCTGACGCCTCTTTATATAGGAAAGGTGATTTGCCTTTTTGATTTACAAATCATCAGTTTCCATATTGTTTATTATTATTACAAATAATAGAGTTAATTATCTGGGCAGACGATGTTTTCCGAACTTTACCTCTCTTGTTCTTTTTATATGACGAACTGCCTGGTTATTCCTAGTGAATAAGGATAAACGGGAAATTCCTGAGATTGCGAAGGACCAAAGGAAGGGGTCATTAATTATGTTGTTAACATCACTGTCATAAAGGAATAGCATCCATGACCTATCTTCTTCGTGATGCGTGGGCCCACATTTTGTTGATATTTCAACCAACTAAAACACAAAGCTGCCACTCAGTCTGCTATTTCTTTAATTATACATGTTTTTGTATATTTAGATATCTAAGAATTTCAACCAGTTAAGTGGACAAAAGCTATTTGAGTGAGGGATAAAATTCATGCCAATTACTCTTATTTTCTGCAACCTACTATTCAACTTCTTTCTGAATTATTCTTCACCGTTATTTACTGACTTCTGTAAGTTAATTAGATGAACAAAAAGTTCAGCGAGGGATGAAGTTATAATGACAATTAATTACTTGTGCTTTTTACTCCTCTTATAATGGCACAATTGACTAGATTCAGCTTCTTTCTTGTATTTATTCATCATTAACTTCGCGAACAATAAAATGGTTGTTGTGATGAGTGAAAAAGGACTTCCCACCTCTAAAGCAAAGTTGAGAATTTAAACTGTAATTTGTAGATGAGAAAAATCACGCTCGAGTTACCCTTCTTTAGACATAATAAAAATATTCGAATCTGAACTAATTAGTAGTAGCGGATACATACTAGAAAATTGTAAAAACAAACTTTTACATCCTTAATTTGTGCATGTGAAGGAAACTACTAAAGAAAATTAATTTTTTTTATAAATACGAAGCAATACAAATTCTTCACTTATTATCAACTGTTTACGGAAAAATTAAGTGATGAATATATTCAAGAAAGAATAACAATAAAGTCCCAAAACTTGGAATTTCTGAAAACTAAGTTCCTAACAAAATTTTATGAAAAATAAGTAACAAATATTTATTGATTTAAACAGTTACAAATAAGAATCCTAACTGTAAACTGTGATTTATATTTAAAATTTACATGTCCTATTTATAGTTAAAACTTTTAAATTTATGACTATTTAAATTAATATTTATAATTGACTTTTCAAAAAATTTTGTCGAGGATGTAGCTATTACATATTCATTGTTTTGAGACTTTAATATCATTCTCTCCAAATTCAAAGGATGTACAACTTTTTTAATTGAAGGTTTATATAAAATAGGACATAGTTACGTGCTGTAAGCCTATAATCTTTTTGTTCGAAATTAAACTAAATCTTTAATTACTTGATGTAATTATTCAGTTGAATTATATATGGATCAACATATATCGTCACACTCAACAGTAACGGTCACGACGTTAATGATCAAATACAGTATATCTTACCAAGTATATAAATATGCACGGACGTTATTAAAAAGGAGAAGAAGAAGGCATATTTACATTTGAAGTGCCTCGTAACATTAATGGGATAATGATGTATGACTGGGTGCACAGTAGCTTCCCAACTTGAAAGAAACGAGTGATTGTAAAGAGAGCGACGCATTCCCATGCTACCAAACGCAAATTAAGTGTGAAACAACGTGTTGCTTCCTAGCATACGTTTCTAGAAAATTATTCTCCTGCACAAATTTGTTTATTGCCGTCAATTTATTCCCGAAATTCAGAACCACATATAGCAGAGACATTATTGCCTTTAAGAATTGGAACGATGGAGCTTACCCAAAATCATCCTTTTATCAGCGTAATCTCAAAAAAAAAAAAATCAAAAATCTTCTTAAAAAAGCTTGCTCACTTTGAAAACCATGTTAATTTTGACCTTAGAATTTTACATGACCCACTTTTGAGGTGTTTGGGGAATTTACTCCCTCATGTTACTTAATTTCTTTTTTTTTTTGGTTAATGAGTAACTAGGACCTTGAATTATTGCTTAAAAATCTCTTTGAATCTTAAACTCTTAAAATATATAAAATAAATCTTAACCATTAACTTTTTAACACCGTTACTATCCACGTAGGTACTGTTTAAAGTTTATTTTCTTATAAATTTAATCCTAACTGTTAAAGAACTCGCGTGGACAATAACGATGTAAAAAAAGTTAACAGTCAATGTTTATTTTATTATAAATTTAAAAGCTTAGAGTTTATTTTGTATATTTTAAGAATTTAGGGTCCAGGTTAATTTTTATATAAGAATTCAAGGTCCTATTTCTAAAGAAAGAAAACAACGACCAACAAGCTAGGGAAATGAGAGATCATCAGAATGATGGGATATGTTTTGTAAGCGTTCATCTTTCCTTTATCTCTTTTTTCACCCACAACACACCTTCCTAATTCTATTAATATAAGCAACATATATTAGATTAGGACTTAGACTTCTTGCAATACCCTCATAAGCTTCCATATATAGGAATTTCTTTGCTAAATATATATTTAAAAATCCACAAAAATCAGACGACATATATTACCTTCCAAAAAAGAAAGAGAAGGAATGAAATCTTGATGGACCCAATTTTGCTGCCCACATAACTTAAAGTGAGAACTAGATTGCACAAAATGGTCTTCCCCATGATAAGTCTCTAAAATTCAAACATAGTCTACTTGTACTTTATAAGTCAACTGATTGCATGATGAGTAAGTTTTGATTCTTCTGTGTTTTGATTTTCCCAGTAAACAAAGCATTCCTCAACCATTTTTTTCCCGATCGAGAAATGCAAGCGAAAAAAGAAATAACGGGCTCTGATTCGAATTCCTTATGCCCCCCCCCCCCCAAATGATTTTTTTAACCTTTCATTTTCTTAGGCTTTGCCTTTTTGGTATCTAAAAATTTTTTCTTCAAGAACTTCTGATACTTTTAAATCAATAATAATGTATGAATATCGATCAGCTTTATAAAAAGAAGTCAATGAGTTTGATGTTGATATTGAAATTCTAAGAAGTTAACAGGTTAGAAAAAGTTGATTTTTTTTTTATAAAACTAATGGGTATCCATAAACTATTATTAATTTAAAAATATCAGGAGTTGGATTATTAAAAAAAAATCCGGAGTTGCTGAAGAAAAAGCTTTTAAATATTTTTGCACTTTAACAATACAATTTTTCTGTAGTATATAGATGGAGATGCCATACAATCATGTTCTGAGTTTTCAATTAATCAAAAGAAGGAATATTAAAATTAAAAATGATGACTCGTTTAAGCAATTGCGATTTATAGGGAGTCCCTCCGGAGCCCATGGATAGTGGAATATAGTATTATTTAATTGGACACCTAACTCCCACGAAATAGGGTGATTCAAGAGTGATTGCCAACCCATGGTAAGACAAAAATAATAAATTAATAAAAGTTAATTAGGGCATATGATCACGCCTATTCCAATATTCAAAACCCTTCATTCCTTTGTTTGTCCACGTGCATGAAAGAATTGTTGAATTGATTCAATTGAAATAATGATATATATCTTTTGATGATTCAGACGACTATTTGATTTTTTTTTTGGGGTGCCAGACAAAAGTATTTGAATTGACTGTAAATGAAATAGAAGATTAAAAAAAATTGATGGAAAATTTTGTTAAGAACTTAATTGTTATTAATTCTATCTTTTAAAACTTAACTGTTATCCTCTCCTAAATCTTGAATGACAAGTAAATCTTACCCAAATAGCTAAATGATAAAAGAATACCACAAAATAACATAATTACTTTGAAATCTCTTGGGACTTATTTGACATTTTTTTTTTGCAAAATTACATTTATGAGTCTACTCAATTCTAGTCATTTCCTCATCTAAAGTAGTTATTTTCCCACCTGAAGTGGTCACTAATAATCTACATGCCATTGCAATTGACTAGTTAAAAAAGTTATATAAAATTAGTTGTCATTTGCTATTTATTTTTAGTCATACTTTCTCTCATCTAAAGTAGTTATTGATGACCTAAAGACTCTTGCACTTGATTGATAAAAAAAAGTTACAGAAAATTAGTTGTCATTTGCTATTCATTTTTAGTCAATATCCTAATCAAAGTAATTATTTTTTTTTATCTGAAGTAGTCATTGACTTACAAACCTTTACACTTGACTGATTAAAAAAATTGTAAAAATTTAATTGTCATTTACAATTCAATTTTAGTCAATGGCCTAATAATCGAATTAGTCATTTTCCCATCTAAAGTTGTTACTAACCTATAATGGTCTATAAATCACTGACTACTTCAGAAATATATGGAAATGACTATTTTAAGTAGGAAAATGATTAAAATTGAGTTGCAAATGACAACTTTCTTTCTATTATTTTGAAAGGGATAAAAAATTTAATTTCTCAAAGAAAATTTATGTCAAATAAGTTTTTAAAGACTTCAAAGCAACCACCCTATTTGGTAGTACTTTTTTTATTATTTATCTATTTTAATGAGATTTATTTGCCATTGTCCTTTTATTCAAACTATAGTAATGAGATTTATTTGCCATTGTCCTTTTATTCAAACTATAGGGTAAGCCGTAAACATAAATGAGAAAAGTGTAAATTAATCACATGGTGCATTGGACGAGAGAGTGAAGGGACATAAATGCTTTCCATCGATGGCTCTTTCATATTGCTCTTAATCTTCTTACTCCAAATGAGCCCGTTAACAAGAATCCACCAAAGATTGTCCCCTAAAAATTCCAATTTGGCTGACCCTTACTTTTAAAAATTTGCTCAATATTTATATTACTTGATGAAACCTATTGCAAGTGCTTTGGCCACAATGACTTTTTGCTATATTCCACTCAAATCCCATACAAAATTAGTTGACCTCACCCTTTATTAATTATTTTCTTAGCTTGTTGCAGGTTCATTACTTGATTACCTATCAATTGCGTTTAACAAACGTTAATTGTCGTCCACATATTATTTATTAATTAC